CAAAGCCTCAGAAGCGCGGGAACCCGCCCGGTGCCCCTGGTCTGCTGGAGACGGTCTCCAGCAGACCAGGGGCACCGGAGCAGCTTACGAACGGGGCTTTCTCGCCCCGACTTCCGGGGCGAGAAAGCTCCGTTCGTAAGTGCGGATCCGACATAAGTCGGATCCGCGTAAGTCGGGGACTGCCTGTAGTCCCAAGAACATTACCCATACTGAGACTACATCCCCCAAAATAGGGTCAAGTATGTACTACTGAAAAAATATTCTTGGAGAATGTAACTAAGGCAACTAATGTTTTCTGAGATGGATGCAAAGATAATCAATCACAATTTCATGAAGATCAGCTACAGACCAGAATGACCCACTGAATTACAGTAATATAAACATTCCATGCACTGGTATGGGTTGATCATTTTTGTGTCTAACAGGATTGTTGTCCCTACTCACTGATGTTTTTTTTACTGGTAAATGCTACTTGGTTATTCCCTTGAAATTCCCAATAACTTCTGATGAGGCTACTGAAACCATACCAGATAATACTCTGTTATAAGGAGCCTGTCATTTGCTTTGCAGTGAGCCAAACATAGCCCAGAGGGGGCGGAGTGTTTTTGATCCCATCTTCCATTCCCACTCTGCCCCTTCCCCCAAACTCCCACTGTTGCCACACATCCTCCCAAGTGTGGTAGATAAGAGTATCTTCACTAAACAGGGCAGCAAAAATATACTGTTACGTGGACCATGGAAAGCATGCACACAGGTTCTCACTTTGCCAATCTGCACATAATTCTTGACAAAATAAATCAATCAATCTTAGGACTGCTGATCTCACCAATCCTAGCAAACAAACAAACCTCATCATAGAAAAGTATTTTAGTGTGGATCATATTATTAAGACTTCCATAAGTTTATAACTATCCCATAGGATCTATGCAACACCTATCCAATCACCCTGTTTAAAAAAAAAAAAAGGAGATAGCAGAACCCAGAACTATATTTTTAAAAGATTACTGTACACTTATTAAAATAATATTACAATCTAAATGTTGTGATTCAGCACCCCTGATTCACTGTTTGGGGGTGGGTTGACAATACATAAAATTTAGCAACACGTGTGTTTGCTTGTTAATATAACTTTGCAGTTCGATAAGATTCAGGTAGAATCTGTTACTTGAATATATAAAGTATTTAATTTTATCTGGATAATTTAGAATTCCCAACAACTTGTGTAAGCACTAAGTTATTCTAATATTCAACAAAGTGTAAATGATGTACAGGCTTAACCTCTATAATTTGGACTTCCCTAGTCCAGCAACATCCCTGGTCTTGCATCGTCAGTGACCCCACGGCTGCTCTGGGGATGGAGCATTCACAGGAGAAAAAAAAAACTGGACTAGGGCCAGCAGCATTGCTGGACCAAGGAAGAGCAGAGATCTAGCATCCGAGGGGCCAGCAGCAGAGCCCCGGCGAGCCAGGAAAGTGGAGTTCTGATGGGCTGGGACCCAGGCCAGCAGAGCCACATAGCCTCAAAGCCCAGGTGGCTGGCAGTGGAGTGTCGCCAGCCAGGAGTGGAAGGACCAGCGTTGACCTCTTCTGGTCTGGCAAATTCCCTGGTTTGGGACTAGCCATGTCCCAAGGGTGCCAGACCAGGGAGTTTCAATCTGGTCTGAAAATATGCCTTTTAAATACTAGTGGAGGTTCAGATATATAATTAACTTTCAGTTATTCAAATTTTCTAGGGTTAGAGAAAACTGAGCTATTTTTACTTACATATCAACACAACATTGTGGCTTCACTGCACCTGCAGCATCGACAACAACATATTTATTTGGAGTTGTGCAAAGAACTGAAATGAAAAGGATATTGGTGGTTATATGGCATAAATCAGCAGTAGCACAAATTTTAATAAACAGATTGTAATAAGAGAGAAATCTGAATTTCTGCATAACCCGATAAGTTTTATAACTTATGTTTGTTACATAAATTACAGGTAAATGGATAAAGGAAACCTTAAATGAAACTAAACCTAAGAAACCCACCTTTAAATTTTAAGGCAAACTCATAAGGGTTATATAGGGTCAACACCTGTTTGTGTGTTGACTGGTCATCTGCATAAAATATAAGCTCCGTAGGAAACACAAAAACAGGAAGATTTCCTTCCACTATCTCTGGCTGTCTTTTTTGTTGCTGCATTGGCACCGAATCCTTCCTGCTGCTTCTTCTGCTCTTATAATTTTGTATCCCAAACAGACTTTTGGTTTTGAGTCATTTAAGAATTCCAACACATTTTGGCAATTCTGCAGAGAAAGAAAATGAAATGATGATTGTGTTTGTTTTCACAAATCCATAGAACCTCATCAGATGGCAGATACATAGATACAGCACTCGACATTTGGTTTTTAGCTTGTTTATAATTATTTTAAGTGCCTTCAAATATGTTTAAGCCAACATAACTCTACTCATCTTTGACATTTACATCCATTAAAAAAACCCTTGCAATACAGTAAGGCTGCGTCTAGACTGGCATGATTTTTCGCAAATGCTTTTAACGGAAAAGTTTTTCCGTTAAAAGCATTTGTGGAAAAGAGTGTCTAGATTGGCACAGATGCTTTTCCGCAAAAAGTGTTTTATCTGCCATTTTCGCCATCGGGGCTTTTTTGCGCAAAACGGTTCTCCGTTGTCTACACTGGCCCTCTTGCGCAAAAGCATTTGCGCAAGAGGGCTTTTTCCCCGAACGGGAGAGTCATTGTATTTGCGGAACACTGACAATCTTACATTAGATCGTCAGTGTTCTTGCGCAAATTCAAAGCGGCCAGTGTAGACAGCTTTTGTGGAAAAACTTGCCAGTCTAGACGCAGCCTAAGTGAATATGCCCTTCTTTCGTTATTATTTGTATTGCTCTACTGCCTCATTCCTTAGCCCTGGAGCAAGACCCCACTATACTAAAGACTTAACAAATACAGCAGAAGAAGACTGTCCCTGCAGCAAAAAACCTATAACCAGAGTATAAGACAAGAGACAACAGGTGGATGAAGACAGACGGGAGAGCCTAAGGAAACAATAAGACAATACTGGTCTCTCCAGCTCATCTGTGGAAGTGGGTTTTGCCCATGAAAGCTCATGATATATACCACATCTACACACAAGCAGTTATTTTGACATAATGTCAAAATAATGTTGAGCTGAAGGAACGCTTACTCCAACTCCTGTAACTTTCATTGTATGAGGAGTAAGGGAAGTCAGGGGAAGAGTGCTCTCTCTCAAAATAACTGCTGTGTAGACAGCACCAGAAGTAAAAATAAGCTATTTTGATTTAACCTGCATAGCCCAAGTTGCACAGCTTATTTCGAGGTTAGCCCTGCTGTGTAGACGTGCCCTAAGATACCACAGTATTACTCGTTTTTAAAACACATCAGTGGCTTAACTGAAACATCCCAAGATACAATACATTATGTGCCAGTTCATGTTTGTATATGAATCAGGTCACAGTGCAAAGATTCAGATCAAAAGAATCAGAAAGACCTTCTTTCTTTGCCTAATTGCATCTCTGATGTCTGATTGTAATAGAATTTCAGTGTAAAGGCAGTGAATTAAAAAAATAGTATGTATAAGATAGGTCATTATTCAAAAGTACAGGTAGGTTTTTTTTTATTTTAATCACATTTATTGAAGCTAATTTTGTAATTATTTAAGTTGATATAACAAATAATTGTTTCCCCCCCATGTGTAAACAAAATATTACCCCTCCCTTCTAGATTTTTCAGGTTCATTTCTGGAATCTCAATCCAAACAAAACAAAAAACAAAGCCTCACAACATGTTCATATTACACACGCAAATGTAATTTATAAGGGTGCGTCTACACTGCACCCAGATCTCGAAATAAGCTACGCAATTTGAGCTATGCAAATTGCATAGCTTATTTCGAGTCAATTTCGAAGTAGCTTATTTCGAAATTTGGCACTGTCTACACAGCACTTATTTCGAAATAAATTGCTATTCTGAAACATCCCTTACTCCTTGTGGAATGAGGTTTACAAGGACATCAGAATAGTGAGCCCATTATACTTTGAAATAACGGGCATACTCAAAAGACTCAGAATAGCTATTTTGGGATACCTCTGGTATCCCGAAATAGCGCTGCAGTGTAGATGTAGCCTAAGATAAAAATAAGGCTCCAACCCTGCAAATATGAATACAGGCAGTCCCCGGGTTATGTACAAGATAGGGACTGTAGGTTTGTTCTTAAGTTGAATTTGTATGTAAGTCGGAACTGGCGTCCAGATTCAGTCGCTGTTGAAACTGACCAGCAGCAGCTGAATCAGACACGCCTGGGGCAGAGCAGCTGGGGTGCTGCTGGGTTGGTCCAGTAGCACCGCACCTCGGCGCTGTGGGACCAACCCGGCAGCCCCCCAGCTGCTCTACCCCAGGTGTCGGCGAGAAAAGCCTGGTCTGCTGGGGCACAGCTACTTCGGGGTTCCCTCACCCCGTTCTTAAGTAGGGATCCAACGTAACTCGGATCCACGTAACCCGGGGACTGCCTGTACAGATGCTTGCCTATATGTGCTAATAGGTAATTCCACTGAAGTCCACAGGTTTCTACAGGGCACGTCTACACAGCAGGGCTAAACTTGAAATAAGCTACACAACTTGAGCTATGCTAATTGCATAGCTTAAGTCAAAATAGCTTATTTTGACTTTTGGCGCTGTCAATTCACAGTGCATGAAGTTAAGTCTGCATGACTGTGGCCTAAAATCGTACTTCACTGTGTTTTCTACCGACCAATAATCTCAGGAGGACACTGGGAGTTGACTGGAGACTCATAAGCTGGGTGTACATGATGAAATGTTAATTTAAGAAAAACCTCACTTGTGCTGTCTCTCATGGAGTTGAGCCTCCTAGTGGTTTCCAGCATATTATCACCACATCAACTAAACCGGCTGCTCATGTGTTGAACTGAACTGGTGGTTGCACCAGTGGTAATTCTGTTTCTAGAATTCCCTAATGCAGACATAGCCCTGAAGCTATGATTGGTAAGTAAATGCCTAATTTTCTATTTTAAATCATGAAATTGCATTTAATTGTGCCAATATTTTATATCTGAGCGTATTTTCACAAAACTGATACTTAAAAATCCAAAAGGGACTAAAACAGCTAGGCTGTGTCTAGACTGGCAAGTTTTTCCACAAAAGCAGCTGCTTTTGTGGAAAAACTTGCCAGTCTAGACACAGCCTAGCTGTTTTAGTCCCTTTTGGATTTTTAAGTATCAGTTTTGTGAAAATACGCTCAGATATAAAATATTGGCACAATTAAATGCAATTTCATGATTTAAAATAGAAAATTAGGCATTTACTTACCAATCATAGCTTCAGGGCTATGTCTGCATTAGGGAATTCTAGAAACAGAATTACCACTGGTGCAACCACCAGTTCAGTTCAACACATGAGCAGCCGGTTTAGTTGATGTGGTGATAATATGCTGGAAACCACTAGGAGGCTCAACTCCATGACTAGACATAGCCCTAGTATAACTCTACTAGATGCACAGAATTTAGTTCTGATTCAAGATTTTAATTTATTTTAAAAAATTCTCGAAGAGTAGGTGCATATTGTCCTTCCCAAGGACTAACTGTTCTTATTTCAGTATCTTTTCCCCCCCTAAAATCTATTCTCCCTTCAGAACACATGATTAGCATTGTTGTCTATTGGAAAGTAATTATGTTCTTTTGAAATGAACTCCCTGATGATGATATTCCTGACCGCTGTTTTATTTCTATTTCAAAATGTGTTTTAACTAGGCTACATATCAGCAACTTAAGATTCTGAGGCAATTTAGTTTCTGTCCTCTGCTAAGAATTTTGGTAAATACTTTTTGATTCAGAAGAGATGAATAAGCTCTGCAATTACTTTGCACAGCAAGTCTAATTAGTAGGACTTGAGCATCTTAATGTCTTATTGCTAAATAATATTACTGTTTCATTCAAATCGTACAAGAACTGTATCTGGGTCTAACTTAAAAGAATGCTAGATCACAGGAATGCAAAACTGTTTTCAAATAAGCGGTCTCTTACAGGCAATAGAAGAGAGAATTTTAGGAGAAGCAAATTACAGAGCAATATGTAGTTCAAGAACATAAGAAATAAGATACCAAAAGTTCATTAATATAAAAATCTACATACATGCAATTGGCAAGACTGCACAAAAGATTTTCTTCTGATTGTTTTAAACATACTTACTACATTATGGAATAACTAATAGAAAATATATTTTTGGATATTTTTAAATATTTTATGGGCTCACTAAAGTTCTAATAAATATGATTCTTTATTCTTCAACATTACATTTTATTTAGGGATGTAAAATCGCAGTTAATCAGTTAACCACTTAAACATTAGGTTATCCTAACGTTTAACCAGTTAACTGACTAAAACGGGATCCACATTGGGGACTGCTCCAGCCCAGGTAGAGCAGCCCCTAGCCCACGGGCTGGGGCTGCTTTGGTTCCTCGCTCCCAGTCCTAGACAACAGCAGCCCCTATCCGAGGCAGGCCCTCTACTGGGATCTACTCCAGAACCAACCAGTAACTGGTTAACCTTTCACACCCCAATTTTGTTTCTTTTTAACACATGCATTGAATTCATTGCAGACTACCTCAACTCCAAGAATCATGGGTTTTAAAAATATACATATGCATCAGGCTGATGCTTCTGCTTTCTATGTATTGGCTGAGTAAAATTTTATTATTCAAACTGGTATCAATGAAAAGTAGCAAGTTTTCACCAATTTTGAGGACTAAGGTCAGTATACACTATAGTCTTTTGTACCATAGTAGCATCAGTTAGGAACAAGACACTATTTTTTGTAAAAACGTTTTATTGACAAAAGCCTTTGTGACGACAGCATAAAAGTTCTTTGCAGATATAACTTATTATGTTTTCTGAATCAGTATAAACTATACTACCAAAAGTATTTTTTATTATCTGCATCTCTACTAGAAGGATTTGCTGGTGTAACTATAATAATACCTAGGTCTTATAAAGCACTTTTCCTAGTAGATTTCAAAGTACTTTATTAAAAAAGAGGTATCTAACAGCAAAACTCATTAGAACGCAAAAGGACTATTAAGAACATATAAAGCTAAGCATGGGCATAAATCTTTGCAATAACAGGGCCTAAGGCCTCACACTCCTGCAAACTAATCCACACAGGTGGACTCCTGCAGCTGTATGGAGCCTCAGTGAGACACTGCAAGGGTAGGTATCCATTTATACACAGCTCATATCATCTTAGCAGTTGTA